ATAATATAGTAATAGATAAAGAAAGTTCTCGAGTAAAAATTCTTTATTCCTCACACATAAAAAGACCAAGGATCTAGAACTTTTTAATTTTTAAAAAGAATCAATAATGATGATAATAATAATAATAATATTTATTATTATATTGTTATATCATCATTCATTATTATTATTGATTTTAAAGTTTTATAGAATAATAATAAGCACTATATAAAGAACATCCCGAAGGAATTTATTTGATGTAATAGTTTTTCGGGATTTCCCGTTAAATGAATCATGAAAAATAGGTATTATTAAAAATAATAAAGAATTTTAATGTTTCCAACATATCAAATAAAAAAATTTTTTTGAATAAAGAATGGATAAATTAAAATAAAACGAGAGTATAAAATTAAAAAAAATTTAATTAAACTCATGATACTAATCAATCAATAAATAAGCAAGAGAAATAAAAAAAAAATAAAAAAAAACAAAAAAAAATAAATAAATATAAATAAATATAAATAAATAAATAAATAAATAAACAATAAATAAAATAAGAGGTATTTTTGCCTCCGAGAATTATAAAGTGAGATTATATCTACAATAATAAATATAAATAAATGTAAATAAACAACATGTGAATTTGTTTACTCTAATAATTCTCTAAATAATGTAATAGTGGTTATGCCGACATTACATACTGTATATTCTATATGATGACAAATATAAACATTGTCGCTCGACGCACATACAATACCTGCAAAAATTAGTTTGCAACTTTTTATGTTTTTCCTTTTTCCTAAAATTGTTATTATTATATAAATTTCTCTGAGTTATTGATTTTGTATCACAACATTAAATATTAATATTTAAAATTTGGCGGGAAATATTGCAAAATTTTCAAATCTTCTCTCTTCTACAATATTTATAATCAAAAAGAGTAAAGTCAGATAGACGGATGAATGGATGGATGGATGGATGGATGGATGGATGGATGGATGAATGAATGAATGAGTGAATTTATACGTGTGTGCGTGTGCGTGTGTGTATGCGCGCGCGCGTGCTAAAGATGAGAGAGCGAAAATAATAGATAATCAGTAAAACAAACTAATATTCGGAATTCTATATATTCCTAGAAAGAAAAATTTTTTAACTGTAAATATTTATTGTTGTTAATAAAATACTAAATGGAAATTCTTTATGAAAAACAACAAGCACTATATTAGTTTTGCAAAACTATATTTCTTTTTCTTTAGAGAATCAACATAATTCTTCCCAAATGTTCTACATGACTATTATTATTACTATTACTATTATAAATAAATTGAAGATCTTTCCCCGTTAATTAATAATTTTTCTAGAATATTAAATTTTTCACAAATTAGGTTCTATTTATAGAAGACAATAGGCGGCACAAAAAGTATAGTGGAATATCCCCCTTTCACTTATTCATTCATTCATTCATGCATCCCATCCATCCATCCATCCATACATTCATTCATTCATTCATTCATTCATTCAAAAAAGAAATAATTTTTATTAAAAGAGTCTTATTTTTTTTTTATTTAGAAGAAAACAAAACGAAAACGGAAACGCAAGTGAAGTAAATTAAAATAAATAAAATCAAAAAAATTTTGCATATAAAAAAGAATAATCGTAAAAAAAGCTTAATGATAATAAAATAACTACATAATAAAAACTACATATAAATAATAAAAATAAAATATAAATAATAAAAATAAATATAAAAAAATAAATAAAAAAATAAATAAAAAAAATAAAATAAAAAAGAAACTTACATGTACATCGCAATTCGTTACTAAGTATTCTTTCTTGACAATAATCACAT